AGCACCACATAAGCAAAAAGAAAAAAGCCAGAAGTGGCGCTGTGGCTCCAGTGGTAGAGCGCTAGCCTTGAGCTGAAGAGCTGAGGGACAGCGCCCAGGCCCAGAGTTCAAGGCCCCACGACCAGACCCCCCCCCCAAAAAAAAAAGCTCCTTGAGGGAGGACTGGGGCGTGGCTCAGCTGGGAGGGCCGGACTTCAGATGGAGGTGTGGCCTAACTTGGGGGTGTGGCCTTGGTGATATGGGCATGGCTTCCTGGATAGGGAAGGTGGGCCTGGCCCAGAGGTGGGGCCTTGGCTCAACAGTAGAGGTGTGGCTTATCTGTGGGGGTGTGGTCTTTGTAGAGGGGCGTGGCTCATCAAGGGCCGTGGTTCCGCCCAGCTGGGGCGTGGGCGTGGCTCTGCCGAGGGGCGTGGCTCAGCCAGGGCTGGGCGGGCAGGGCACTGGTTCATGGCCCTAGCAAGTGCAAGGCCAGAGTTCATGTTACAGAATCCTGAGTTTCCCAAAGGCCCTGTGCGGATGCCCTGGATGCACACACGAATCCAGCCCAGGCTGGCCTTCAAGGCACGTTTAACCCGGGAAGGTAGGCACGTGGGCACTGGCAGAAGAGTTGACCCAGAGGCAAACGCCTACAAGAGCAGATGGAGAGGAGCCCAGACTACGGGGAAATGAGGCCTCCCGAGGGCCAGGGAGGGGCAGGAGGGGCGGGGACAGGGTGAGGAGAGGCTGAGGGCATCGGACAGCAAGCGGCTCCTGCTAACGTCAGCCTTAAGCCGGAACACAGCCCACCCCCCCGAACACGGGGACCCGAATGTCTTCCTCACCAGTGTCACCCTATGGCCGGCCTGGAAACTGGGGCATAGCTGGTGCTTACTACATATATAGAAAGAGAAAGGAGGATGGACAAAGGGAAGAGGCCAAGGGAGAGCAAAAAGAAGAGAGAGCCAGGAGCCGGTGGCGCATGCCTGCAATCCTAGCTACTCAGAAAGCTGCAATCCGAGGATGCCAGTGCCAAGTCAGCATGGGCAGGGAAAGCCCATGAGATTCTTATCTCTCAGTAACCACCCAAAGGGGCAGAAGTAGAGCTGTGGCTCGAGTAGCAGAGTGCTAGGCTTGTGCAAAAAAAAAACTAAAGGGTAACAAGCTAGGCCCTGAGTTCAAGCTCCAATAAGGTATGCTCCCCCTTCCCCCCCCCCAAAAAAAAGAAAGAAAGAAGCTGGTGGCTCATACCTCTATTCCTAGCTAGTCAGAAAGCTGAGATCTGAGGATCACAGTTCAAGGCCAGCCCAGGAGGAAAATCCATGAGATTCTTACCTCCAATTAACCACCAAAAAATCAGAAGTGGAGCTGTGGCTCAAAGTGGTCGAGTACTAACCTTGAGCAAAAGAACAGCTCAAGGACAGCACCCAGGCCCTGAGTTCAAGCCCCCAGGTTGGGGTCAGGGGGAGGAAAGAAATAGGAAGAGGAGGAGGAAGGTAGAGGAGGAGGAAGGGAAGGAGTGCTGTTCTGAGCTCAGTCACTGACTCCACTCATCTGCTGTCATAACCTTATTGGTTTTTCAATCCACCAAGGTTCACTCCAACCTCCGGACCTTTGCACATGCTGTTCCTTCTCTACCTGGACCGCTTTTCACCCCGGCTGGCTCTTTCTACTCAGAGGAGGGGAGGGCTGCGGGAGAGGGAGAAGGGTGTGGTGGGGATGGCTCTGCTCACCAGAGGACCACGCGACCCATGAGGCCTTTGGGCACCTGTGCAGGAATCATCTCTTTCTGGACCATGTAGTAAGGGTACAACACGTCGAGGGGCAGCTCCACAAACACGGGGCCTGCAGGGACAGGGAGGGGCCCGTGCCTGCGTCACCTCCGGCAGCCCCCCCCCGCCCCTCACCTCTGGCAGCCCCCCCGGACCCCTCACCTCCAGCAGCCCGCCAGGGCCCCCGGCCTGCGCACTGCCCAGACCCCTCATCTCCAGCAGCCCCCCAACCCCTCATCTCCAGCAGCCCCCCCAGGCCCC